ACACGGAATCTTCCTTGTCGCGATGAGTACCTTCCACAACATCAGGGGCAGGTTTTCCTTGGGAAGGTGCCATCATTCAGAAGCGGCCGTGACGCTTGGTTCTCAGGAAGCATTTACGAGAAGGTTCAGGGGTATCCTTCTGGGACTGAGTTAGTGCTCCAGGTTTTCGTGGCACGTCAGCAACACCGCACCACACACCGGTCCTCCTTGAAGTATGCACCTGCTCGTCAAGCAGAAACATCAGGCTGGGTTCATGTCAGTTTTGGGAGCTACCTAGGTACCTAGCATCATTATGTACCTCTGTAATTCCTTCCTTCCATCTTCTACACCTCCATGGATGGCATTTGGCAGGTTCGAGTCTTGAGTGCTAACATGATGTCCCAATCTCCGAACTACATGGCATCAATCATCTCAACACAGCTCTGTCCTTATTCTCTTCCGGTAGCAGCCAAACCCCAGACATCGTTCTCCAAATCTTCTCTTTTCCGCGCCGGCCGCCACTGAGATAATTCATCTTGAGAGCAACTTCTCTCACGCGAACGCCGTCGTCTTTCCGTTTATCAACGTGTTGCTCCATCTGGAAAATCGAACAGCCAGACCCATCACTCATCGCTAGACTACGGCTATCACAAGCTCACAATGACTGCTGCTGCTGCGAATGACACCAATGTCCCGGCTGCCGGGACGGAGCCAAGAACACCGACGTCGACTCCGGCATCAGGCTCAGCGTCTCCTGGTGTAGCACCCGCCCACCAGTGCAGACAATGTCGCGCTTCCTTCTGCCAACCCCTCGGGTGCGGCCATGTCTATTGCGACGAGGTATGCACGATCGCGGGACTCTCGATCCGTCAATGATTTCCAGAGCAGACTCGCTGACGATGGCAATTTGAAGTGCGCCGGCCCTCATCATCAATGCCCCGAGTGTAATCGCCGCCTCGTTGTGTCTCCCAAGCCTTCTATCGAAGTGAGTGCAATCCTGCTACCGTTTGCATTCTGTATCGACAATTTGCTAACTTTTGGATTTTTTTTCACTTTGGAAGAAACCCCCAAAGACCACGTATCCCTCCGAAGACGGCCTTTTTGACCCTATCTTCCAAAAGAGAATCGACAGTCGAATCCGTACAATCTACTACGTCTCGCTCTGTTCTTTCTGGGCTTCTGTCCTCGTAGGCATTCTTTGCATTATTGCTATTATTCTTGAAACGAGCAAACGGTCGGATTAAGGTGGAAGATTCAGAAGGGAAAACTTATCGAGGCCGGTGCTTCGCACTGCTTTGCTGGCCAGACTGGTTTGTAGGACGGCTGAGCGCGGTGGATTATGATTACTTGTAGCATTAACAAACCTTACGACTATTACATCCACAACTTTTCGCAACCTAGGACAGGATGCTATCCTATGTGTGTTCCATAGTGACATGCAAAGGTACCACATTGCGCGAAGACAGACAGACGGCAACGGAATTCACAGTTGCTTGCTAGTGCACATATGGCTCATTATGACCGACATTATGACTACATCTTGATCCTTGCCCAGTAACGCCGTTGGCGGCTCCCAGAGCCGCAACTCAATGCCCAATTCGATGCCCAGTTCAGTTTACAGTCGTACAGAGTGCCTCACTGGCCTACCGGAGATCGGCACCGTCGCCCCTCGACACACGCTCCCAGAATCGTCGGAGCCGCCAGACCCTACCCACGCCCTTGGTCTCCTCCCACTTCTTGATACCCTCTTCTCGCTGACGTACCTCGCCCTTCCACACGCCCTCTACCCACTTTCTCAAGCCATCCTTGACCTTCTCCTTTTCAATAGCGCGGCGCTTCGCAACGAGAGCGGGCGCGACTTGCACCAAACTCATTCCAGGGACACATTCCGGCGGGAGCACAGCCCGCTTGACGAGGGCTTCGGCCGAGGGCCGCGAGGCCAGTCGGCGGGACAGTCGGATGGAGACCAGAGAGCGAGCAAGGCGTCGCGAGACGACCGATGTGTGAGTCAGAAAGATGGAGCGGGCGATGAGCTCCGCTAGAGAAGGGCGGGAAGGGGAAGATAACAACGGCGGCAGGATGGCACGCGTGTGACGGAGCCGATAGTGATGGAGAATAGGCGAGAGGGACAGGTGACGCAGGTGATGATTGGTCTATGTCATCAGCAGAGTTCAGCAACAACGGGGTCGGTCAACGGAGGGGACAGCAAGCACAGGTGGGAATTTCGCATAAGGGAGGATGAAGCGAGTGAGTTCCAAGGCAAAAGAGAATAGACAGTCACTTGTGTGTGGGGAACGCCTACCCTCGAAGTTGACAAGAGATCATTCACATCCAAATAGCCAAGGATGTGCAGCATGATCTCGTTTGGAATTTCTGAAATGGCGCCTGTAGGCTGATATGGAGGCCGAAACAACGCCAGACAAGACGCTGACGAGGCCTCGAGAAGGTACTGTTCGTGATGATGGTAGTAGTAATCATCGTCACGAACCCCATCGGCTGCTTGGGGCCATGGTCGGGCATCAGTGACCGCCGGATACGTGGAGTCGAGCTGAGTGGAGGAAACGGCGTAGCCCGGGCCATGATCGCCGGCGGGTACAGACAATGCGGGAGAAGAATGTGATATAGCAAGCTGGCGGGTCGAAGAGAGGAGCTGATCTGGGGCCATCTCGTCGTGCATTGCGTCCATGGCTGAGTCAGTCGCCTGCAAGCGACGAGATGGTGATGACACCAAATGAATTGTTCTGGTCTCCAAAGAGCACAAGCACAGATGAGACAAAGATGTGGAGCTGTACGAACAGTTGGTACAGCTGGAGTAGCTGTTCAAGTCCAGTCGTGGTCAATAAGGTGGTTGCCCGTTACTTCGGAGTAATAATGAAATGGGGATTCTTCGGTTCGGAGTATGGTCCGGAGCCCGGGTAGGCGCTAAGCACGAAATTGCGTGGATAAGTTGCGTGGGAAGCAAGTAGGGGCGCGGGGACCGACGAGGTCGCTATGAGGGAGTGCGGGATAGAGCCAAGTGCTTCAGATGAGACCATGGGCAGATATGCTGGGTACCATGGCACGGCAAGCCTCGCGATAGGTTGGTAACCTTGTATGGATAGTAGGTTGGGAACAGAGAAAGATGCGCTGAAGTCGAGAAGATTAGACGAGTCGAGGAGAGTACCGCGCGCGTCAAAGTGAAACAGAAAAGGTCGGGTAAGTAGATGTTTTTGCGCTTTGCGCGCGCGTGCCGTGGAGAGACTAGTCGTTGGAGGCCCGGCCAGCGACCGGCAGACTTAACGCTTGGAGGAAATCCGCGGCGCGGAACTAGTCTCGTTGATGTGACGAGAGGAGCATGAAGACTCCAGCTCAAGAGTGATGAGACGAAATGCTTAACGCGTCCACTCAAGATCGACTGTCCTATTCGATGCTGGCAAAGATCGGGGGGACCATCGGGCAAAGATAGAATGCGAAGTAAAGGCGCGAGGAAGGGATGATCGGGACGGATGAGGGGTGCTCGGGTAAGTAGGATACGGAGAAGGGACAGTGGTCAAGCGAGCTGGCGGGCCGAGGAGATGGGGTCTAATTCGCGGTCAAAGTCGAGGCCAGAGTTGAGGCCGATGACATAGGTTGATGATGAGTGAGTTGACAGGCGTACCTTTCATCCGGCGGAAACTTGAATCATGAGCATGCGGTTGATACTGAGGCTGCAGACGCGTTGACGACGGGCATTGAACTGGGAAGGAGCGTGACAATATGGAGGGGAAGGAATGGGGCCTGACGCACCTTCACCTTAAGATTGGTGCATCTAACTAGGTACTGTACGGATACAGCTTGCGCCTCCATCGTTCCAGGCTGCGTCACACGGTCCAGGCAGAAACCAGGAACAGGGGTATTGGCGGCAGGTGCGACTCACAGTGCGCAACGATGTCTCTTGATAGGTAATCGGCAGGAGCTCAAGGTGCTTCTTCATCAAACGGCAGGAGCTGGCACTGTACCTAGCGCCGGAACGAACACGCACTTTCCCAAGCCACCATCGACTCTCCCCAGCACAACAGCTCCGATGCGTTCTCCTCAATCGTTTAATCATTGTGTCCACGTTGCATAAGGCACCTTATTTTCCACAAAGAAGACGTTGAAAATAGAAACGGGCGCTGAATTGGAGCGGACGCTAACGCCGCCACCGCGTATCCTTCAGGCTTAGGTATCTCAATATCAATCCAAAATCTCCGTCGCTTCTGCCTATCTTCTGTAGCTCAAGATAAGGTACCTTGGGGTATAGGTGCCTCGAGGTGCGGAGTACTGAGGCAGGAAGTCAGCTTCTTTGGAAAATTGAAGGTACCTTATCCGTACCTTAGCAAGAATGAAATGGGGGAAAGTAAGGTACCTACCTCAGATACCTAGATACCTTCATCACCTCAGGTGGGCTTGGGATTCCAGAGATCTATGTACAGAAAGAGGAAGCTCACGGGAGGGGCTTTTAGCTTCCCCGTCTCTCTTCTCTCCGCAGATTTCGGCCACCTCATTCCTCGTGCCGGTCGCCACGGGTAGTGCCTTCTGTCAAAAGATCTAGCCGAAATGGGGCAGTCACCCAACACCACCAATGGACCACCAAATGGCCATCATCCGACTGCATCAAATGCAGTCGGCTGTGACACCCCTTGCTCCGAGAGACCCACTTTTCAAACAACTCCGGGTCTACGCTTTCCACCGGCGCTTTCCTCCTTGCCTTCCAACGTCCAACATCCACACCCGTCGTCAAGCCACAACCCAACGCCCTGCCATTCACGCACCGGACAACTGCCTTGATTAATTGGACAATTCCAACGAACGCGTCTCAGCTTGAGGCTCAACTACTTGCTTTCAAGTCGGAAGCAAAATCGTTATCCCACATCCTACCCTAAGCCGCCAGCGGTACCGGCCTAGTTTCTTACCAAGAACCCCTGAATAAGGGCTAGGCCGTGTTTACGGACAACCTGGACCTGGCCTCATAACGGGCCGGCACGACTTGCGCCTGTTCATGATCATCCCCAAGACACAGAATGATCCGAACAGAGAAGCTCGCTTCTACCCATGCTCTCCAAGGTGCCTTACTTTGACACATCGAGCTTTGGGCTTCAACCGACTGATATCTGCTACAGCCTGAGCAAGAGCCCTGACCCTGGCTACTTCACCTGCCTTTCATCTTGCCCTTGTACAGCTGGATTCTCCACGAACTGCTGTCAAGACCCTCCATTCTGTGCCCTCGAACCCACCTGCAACGGACGCCCGCAGCTACCCCCGGTTCCCGCCATCTTAGCAGTTGCAACGACAATGGACAACGCAGACCCTGGCGCATCTATTCTAGGCATAACTGTACCACCTGCTGCATGCCGCAGGGAACCGCCATCAAACCTGCAAGGGCAGGCTTCTTACGAACCGGTCAAAGCATACAGCAAACGGCATACAGTATGCAGCCCCTAGATGAACGAGGCTGCAGTCTTGACTACGCTTTGTCAACGCCTTCGTTGTCATCAACCAGCCGGAGTTCGAAATGCATCGAACGATATCAATCACACCCCGTCACACGGCATGAACGAGCCAGATGGGCTCTCGCATTGGCATCGGGCAGGAATCAGCAGCCAAGCGGCTTTTCCCACGACACGGACACCAGATTCTGCCACCATCCGTCTGCATTGTTAGTTTTGGTCTCGGCCCCGTGCTTGAATCGCGCTGTCTTTCGAGATGTCTGGTAATTGAGGCAGACCGCGTACTGTCAGAAGGATTTTGGCTCCTGATGTGGTGGTGAGACCGATTTTCCCGGCCCAACCAATTCGATTTTGGCCTCGTCCAATCACGCTCTTGGGTGGCCTTCCTTGCGGCTGCAACAGAAACGCGTCTGTCCTAGGCGACCAACGTCAAGCGCATCCTGGTCACATCGAAATACTTCGTTTGTCTCAACGTCGTCTGTTCCCGTTTGGTGTCCCATTCATTGGCAGATTGCCTTCTTTCCCGGTGCCCCTCAATCGAGCATCGACGTAGCAGGGCCAGCAGACAAGGAATCCCGTGGAAGTCCATGTCGGAATCATTGCTGGTCCTGGAACGCGATGCAGCTGATCACAGCTTCTCCACCAAAGTAGGCTTTCAGCTTGTCTACACGTTCGTACCCTACCGTCTCGTGGCAACCACGAGTAGCGTGCTGACGTGCGTTTCTTCTGCCCGTCATTGGCCTTTATTTGTCGTCTCTTTTCACCAGATGCACCCAATCACGTAGCAAATAACGGTGCATCGTTTCTTCAGCGCATGATTCGCAAAATCCCAAGAGTTCGGGTGGCCTGCAGGCGTCTCCTGGAAGCCCGGGATAATCATTGGCCTTAATGCTTCGTGTTTCTTTAGCTTCGTCCTGTCAAAATCAAGGTCTAGAGGTGTTCCTTAGTTGCAACACCCCAACAGCTCATGATAGGTAGACGGTTTAAAGCACTCTTAGTGGAGTTTTTCCAGTGCTACCTCGCTTCGTGTAGAGAGCTTTCCCACCGTTAGAACATCCGAGGTGAGGACGTGCTCAACATCCTTCCTACGGCAAACGGGCCGTCCCGTTTGCCCATCAGCTCCCACTCAAGGTTACGGTTCACGACGTGCCCGCGCGAGAGCGACAATCTCACCGACAGTCGTCTCGGCGCCGAACACGGATCACCCGGCCTCGTGAATAGACTGGCCGCATCTCTGGCCTCGCTCTTTACAGCCACCCTCCTCCCCCTGACAAAGTATGATGCCCTCGCCGGCGGCAGTCGTGACCAGGTCAGTCTCGAGTGGCGCGGCTGGTCGTTCAGCTATTGTTCCCAGTCAAATAACGGCCGTGTCTATGTAATGGTGGCATTCTCCGCTGTAGTCTTTCGAGCCTTTTGATGTACACGAACGCAAGCCTTTCCATAAACGGTCTTCTAGTTGACAGCGCATCGCCGTCTTTCACAAGGGACTCCCTACTTGTGAACCTTGAACAGTTGCAGGAGGTGTGTCAATGTCGGGAGAGGTGTTCGTGGCCCCGCTCGACCACTCAACTTTCATCTGTCATGTGTGCCAAGCCAAGTGCGAGGAGGCTCGATCAAACTCGGTGATTTGCCCCCAACCTGCACAGAGCACCGGAGCCTCGTTTTGATTGTTGCAGCTCGAGTAGATTGGACAAACCACTGCAAGCGCGGTTCTTTTCTAGCCTAGACCCAATCATAGGAAGCCCGTGTCAGTTGCTGACAACGTTCGCGAGCAAGTCATCGAGTAAGTCAAGGGACAGACTCGGTTGAAGGAATAGGCGGTGCCGTTTATTCCAATGAGAGTCGACACTGATTAATCGTTACCTGCGGACTGTAACAAGAGCTACATCTGGTGAATGAGGTGTCACCGGGGAACTTCGTCCGGTGGACTCGGCAAGCCACACGTCACCCACTAAGGTGAAATAGGTGAAGGGGCGGACTGGAGCCGTGATGCTGCATCTTTGATCGGCAACCGACGCACATTGCCAGCCCAAACTAGAAGAGGGAGTGAGTACAATGCCTCTCATCAGGAGATACCTTTAACGTAGCTTGGGTCTAGGCACATGCACCTTCGTTGGGGCTCTGATGCAGATCGAACGCAATGCAGTGTGGAACATCGGCCATGGCCAGCAGCCGGCCGCCACGTTGTCCTGCCCAGGGCCCTAACCAACGCCTGAAGGCCTTCGTGAGGACCGTTCTCAACTTGCTCGTCGCAAGGTCCGCCGTAATCCAAGGGCATCTAGTCGACGAAGCAAACGGGCCGTCCGTATTCGGACAAGCCAGATAGTTCATGTGAGGGGATGGGTCTGCGGACTTTCTCAATCTCTTCGACGGTACACCTAGACGGTTATTAGCCCGCATGGCCGGTGAGCTGGTTTAGCCCACCACTGGGGGGTAGCATAAGACCTACATCATAAGGCGAGACATAATCAACCACCCCCCCTTTCCCCTCCATAGAAGCAGACCATACAAGACAGGGGTGGATGAGACGACCGATTATTCGTCAATGACCAGGTCGATGGACTCAGGAAACGGGCATCCGGCTCAGAGAGGTCTGGCCCTGAGTGACAAGGCTTTCTTCCTGACATGTTGAGATCGATGTCGCCTGCATGTTGAGCTGGCCTTGTCCGGGGTTTCTTTGCCTGTCCCTGCCCGAGTGGCTGCAAGGGTCCCTGAGGTTGCAATGACAGGTCTCCTGCCTTAATCATTGTGTCTCGTCTGAGGTTTTCAAGTGTACTTATTAGCGTTCTCGGGCGTGTTTAGGCTCAAGTAGACCGGCGGCGACGGAAGTAGGGGATAGGAAGGTGGCGATGAAAATGTCAACCTTGCATCCATGTCACCTCGATGACGTTCCATTATGTGCGGCAGGCAATGCCCAGGTGGTCTCACGGAGCGGCCCTCGGTCAACCAACCCTGGCGCCGTGTAGAAGCCCTTGCCTTCCGACCTTAGACACGGCCTTCACCATAATTCTCTATCCATATGCCAGTAGTGTGGGGGAGCCAATAGTTTCCAAAGGAATGCCGCAGAAAATAGACAATGGCTCGATGGTTCATGCCGGCTACCATCCATCCTCCCCTCCTTTGCCAAGGCCCCTCCAGGGGAAATGGCCAAATATCCCTACCCTCCACGTCAAGCTGACAATTATCTCTTGCTGGCGGGACGAACCATGGCCCGTGTGCAAGGAAACAAGAAACGAAACCGCAATAAGGGATTAAGCACGTATGAAATAGAGAACCCCACAGCGGCCGCAAGCAGAGCGGGCAGAAGACAGCCTTACCTTGAGCGGGAGGCTAGATACCACCCCGTCGCTCTAATACTTGCAGGTCGCAGCCCGTAGCGGGAACACCCACTTCAAAGAACCCCCAAGGGTGCTGTTCAAGGTTTTACCTGGGAGATGAAATCTGCAAGTCTTCTGCAGCATCATATCCGTCCACATACATACAAGAAAAGCTCGTTGAAAGTGGAGAAATTCCGCCTTATGTTTGTGACTGTCACAGCCAAGGGGCCAGGGAAGAACACCAACTGGGCATTGAGCCACAGGAAAGAGGAATAATTTTGCGGTAGGATAAAAGAATCGCGCCTGATGAACGAATGTACCACACCGGACGAAGCTGAGAGGCGGGCAGCTGCTTGAACACTGAAATGAATGCCCAATGATACAAAGAAAGATGGAGGAGATATGCCACCCCAATTCGTACCTGAAATTTGGCAGCTCAGGCACACAATAGGCGTTCATTTTGTTTTTCTCCTACAAACGCCTCATCATGTCCACCCACACCAATTTCGAGGCATTCTTCATTCCCTGCATCGTTCATATTTGGAGCCAGACTAGATTGTTGTTCTCAGTTCCATGCCCCCTTGCAAGTCGTAACATATCAGAACATCTCCAATGCTGAAGAGTGGAGTGCAAAGCGTCGAGCAAGGTCCCCTTGGCCCTGCGAGGACATTTTCGAAGCTACGATAAACGTGGCAAGCAGATATCCTCCGATGACCGCCAGCCTCAGCCTCGAGATGCAAGCTGGCGGGTGACAGGCTAACATATGCGTTTCAAGGTTCGTATCGTCGACAGGGGAATAACGACGAAGATCTCGGCGACGAGACTCGATGGACCATACGGGGCGGATCCGAGACGGAATTTGGAAAGCCATGATACCCACCATGAAAGTTAACAGATGTAATGTACGTCATTTCCGCTTTTCTAAGCAGTATCAAAGTCGATTAAGCCGGTATGGGTCGGTCGTCGTCGTTCTTTTGGACACGAGCGTTGTGTAAGTGGAGGCAGCGGCTAGTGGACAATTGATGATTGCTGCCACGCCTCGAATAGAAAACAAGTTTAACATGGCCATGGCGGCGGCCTGTTGAATATGCATCATGTAGGTATACATGCGCGAACGTACGTGTGTAGTGTAGCGCAGTGTGGTGAATTGTATCGGTATGGAGGCATTATGTGTGCCAGTCGTGACAACACATCGTGCGGGTCCCAATTAACGACCTCGAACTATTTGACAAAGTATAAGTTAGCTCAGTTGCCCCTCAGACTAAAAACATGCTACTATGAGACAAGAACCTGCAAGAAAAAAAGCGTTTTCACGGGTACATCGATGTCGAATTCCGCTTTGTATACGCCTGATACGGAAACATCGCTGCCGGGGAAAATCAGAAAACGAGTATCAAAAAACTGTTAAACCTCGAAACGGCCAAAAAAGGAACGAACAACCTCACCTTGGTGTATTTCCGGTCAAGCAACATCGAGAAAACGTACCCCCGTTACCCACACCCCCGAGCCGGGCCAGCAAAAAGAGACCACTGCTGCCCAACGGCCATTGCGCCGAACAGCCAAAAAAAAGAGACTTCTCGATCGCGGTTGCGAACGACATCCTTTGTCTCTGCCGAAACGGGCTGCCAGGCACACCACTGCCACTTGTAGCTGGCTGGATTCTTGCTGCTGTCTACTGCTGCGACTGCTGCGGCCATTTCTCAATAATACTACAGTCTGCCTGGTCAGTTCCGTTTTGAACCATTTTCTTTTGGATTTTCTTTTCACACGCCCCTCCTTTACCATGGTCCATGGCATTCAATTTCTGTTCATCCCACGCATTTTACCCCCATGGTAAAAGCCCCCCAAGCCAAAAAGGCTATCCCTGAAGAAGATGGACCATCATTGGACACAATTGACCAAAGAAGCATCATTGTGTACAGCATGTTATTGCATGTTGTAGGGGGAGGGGGGCAAGGAAAGAAGGGGGGCGGCCAACTTGCAAAGATGGGAATGAGAGAACAGGAAAAAAAACATAAATAAAAGATGGCTAACAAACCTTTTGTCTGGCTGAACAGAGTCTGAACAGTCCAGTACCAAACCTGGCATCCGTGACTTCATATCCTACCCGAAACCCCCGAAACGAAACGAACCACTTCTACTCCTCTCTTGGTTCTGCTGCCACCGCTCCTCCTCTTCCTCCTTGTCTCCTCCATTCTATTCTCCACCACATTGCGTATCGACAAGCTAGTTGCCTTCTCTAGCTAGCCAGACGGACCGGCCCGCCAGGGGACGGGGACAAACAACATCGAAAAAGAAAATACCGAAAGAGAGGAAAGAGACAACCGGAAGGGAAGAAGAAAAGAAAGAGACAAGAGAGAAGAAAAAGACCTTGGGGGGTGATCGAGAATCAAGAGGAACAATGTGTTACTTTTATCAAACACGTTGGTCCTGCGGATATTGGAGATGGGGTCAGTTCAAACAGCAATGCAACAAAGAGTACCGAACGGGCGAAACATGCGGACTGAAGCTGGTGTACGAAACCATCACAAACGAGGACCGATGCAAGCTGTGCTACGATATGGACAAGAAATATCGTCGGTTAACCAAAATGCAAGGAGACGTCGCTCGGTGGTGCCGCGAAGGGAATCGCAAGGCGACGATCGAGCGGACAAACCTCGAGATACAGGAAGTCAACCGCCAGATCCAAGAAATGAACAATCAGCATTGGACACGAGTGAATCTGTTGGCCTGATGGATCGTCTACTGCCTGGCTGCTGCTTTGCTGCTGGACGGTTTGATCATGGTCCATGGAGGGGCTCCTATATGGGTATGTTGCAACTTTTTTTTTTCTTTGGTTCGGCTCTTCCCTTTTCCCCTCACCTCCCTCTCCGAATTTTTCTCCATAAACGAATGCCCCTCGTTTGCTGGACCTGTTTTGTGCGGCATGGTGGGAGTGGCGGATTTGCTGCTCAGGGGTAAGCCGAGTCGGGGGTGTGGTGTGTGTGCGTGCTGCGAGAGTGTGTGTGCCACAGCTACAGGACTGCCGTTTGCTGACTTGGCTTCTACTATCAGTGGCTCTCGAGCCTCCCTCGCATCTAGAGGGGACGACGATATGACGAAACGGAATGGAATGTGCGCGGAAACAATGGTGCGGAAAGTCGATTGACGAAGAAAGATTGAGGGAAAAGCGACAAGCAAGTCTTTGACACACTGCGGGACTGGAGAGGTTTCCTGTCGGACCCTGGCTTTGGGGGGAATTTCCAAGTTGAACCACGTAACGGCCGTTCATTCGCTGATTATGCATCATTTTTGGTCTCTTTTGTTCTTCTTTCTTTTTCTTCTTCTTCCTCTTCTTCACTTTATTCATGGTCACTTCTGCTCAGGTTGGGCGGGCGAAGGTTTAAATTTCCCAGACCGGAGGCTACAGGATCCTGTACAGTTTTATTTCTTCACCCGGAGAGCATCTCGACATACTTAATTTCAGCCCTCGTTGGCAGTCAAAGTGTTGTGTGCGTTTGGTGCCCGCAAGAGACCGCTTCGTGTAGGATGCTTCGTCACGAACCTGGTCCGCCGCTTAGACGGCGACAGGGACTCGAATGATGGGCCCCTCAGCAGCACCTTGCTTAGTTTGTATGCTCATCTCAAGCTGTCCTCGGAGTCCCTTCCGTCATTTCGAATTGACTCTTCTGTCCCCTGCCTAAAAGGCCTTGGCCATACAGACACGCATTTTGGCAAGCCCAGCTCGAACGGCTCGGACCTAGAGACTATTGAATTTTGGGAGCCGAATGATGGCAACGCCAAGCGTGGCAGTCATGCTTCCTTCTCTAGGGCACACATGACTAAGGAGGGATTGATGAAGAAAAGCTCTCCCACTTTTTCCTTCCTGCACGGCTGCCCATCCAGCAGGTTTTTGGCGTGCTTATCAGGTAAGTAAGTTGCAGAAAGCAGACTCTGCCGGCGAATGAGAGTGGCACGCGATAGTCGATGGCGAAGGGACAGGAGGCGGTATTGCGTCGATCTGGTCTAGGTACAGCACAGGTACGACGAGTAGCGGCCCTCAAGCAAACATCCAGCCCCTCTTCGCTCCTGCTCCTTTTGTTATTTCGTGTTTCTACAGCGAGCTTGTAAAGTTTATGTTCCTCAAGGCACGTCATCCGTTCTCACGTGTCGCTGTCTAGCAAGTGAGGCGAGACCCCGCGGCTTTGGGATGAGCCCCCTCAAAGACTCCCGCGAGTGCCCCTCCCCAGGGTCCCTGTAAGCACAGCACACTGACAAGCGTACCTGTCATCTGACCTGAGGCCAAAGTGGTGGGAGGAGCGGGAGGAGCAGAAAGAAGGGCTTGGCGTAGGAGAGACTGGGGACAGAAGAGGGACGAGAAGAATGGTGGGTTGTGTCGGGCTTCATGAGATGGGACTGGGAGGCCGCCCCATCTGGCCGCAGCACACCACCCCTCCTTATGCCGTCCATCCCACTTCACATTCAAGGTACCATTTCTTGGACTCGTCTCCGCCAATGAGCCACGGGAACCGCACAGACTCCCGCACAACCCTGAATGGCGGGCATCAGAGTCTTAATATGAGCCTCTAAATGCTTCCCTCCTGTCCAGTGTTGATGTGCTCGTCCGCCCCGAAAGGTCGGCCGAAATCCAAGCTAAAGGTGTCGCTTCCAAACATGGCCCGAACTAGGATGCAACATTCCTTGCCAAAGGGTCCACACTAGAAAAGGTAAACATCAGCCGGAGGTGCACGTGGCCATCTTTCAATGGACTAGGCAACCCATGGCCTGCCGCTGAAGAATATTCGAGACACAGTCATTGGCCCGCCATGGTACGAACCAGGGGGGCTCCAAAGTGGGATGGAGGGAATTTTTCATTGATTACGGATAATTCGTGGTCTTTTGGGCCCATCGTGTCCACCTTTCTCATAACCTCGTTGTTGCCCAGACGTTTTATACAAGGGTTTCGAACCAAGTACAGGGTTTTGAAATAGAAAATGGAAGAAGGGGGAGAAAAACAAACAAACAGAAAATGCGATATGTGAGTGAATGTGGATGCTTCTCGGTTGTGCGATTGTGCTTGCTCTGATTTTGTGTGGGTGGAATTTTGAGAAGCGTGTGTCTGCGAACTGTGTTTGGAGGGGTATCGAGGGAAAAGAGAAAAAGATGTCGTCACTCCATGCCATTCCGTCCCATGTTGCCGTAATCCGACGGGACCCTGACCATGCGTCGACCAATACGAATGTTCGATAGAAAGACAGCGCAAGAATAAGGAGCATAGCCTAGCTGCCCTGCCCGTGAGCTCGGGTGGGCAGACACCAGGAGAATGATTCATGACCAAGAGTTTCAAGCCATTGCCGCTGCTGCATCGGCGAATGTACCGACAAGGGGCTTGTCCAACTCGGTCTTGACTGCTGGTACGCCGTGTCGCATTTCGATTGTGTCATCTTCCTGGGGAAGCCAATCCACTTGAACACCGGTTGGGGCGTCGTCCTTGGACGCCAGCTTTGAAAGGAGATGCTGGTACCGCACGATGCGGGCTTCTTGCCCTGCATACGCAAATGTAGTCGGCGCAGAGCGATGTGCGTGATCCTGCGGGGCAATCTCGAAGATGTCGACCATATTGCTAGGAAGTCCGATGTTAGCACTCCCGGTCCTGACACGAGAACAAGCCCGCCGTCCCGGAGCTTGGGTCGAGAGTCAGTACGTACTCGGACGTTTTCGCTACGACTCGCTGCAAAGCCTCAGTCTCTCGCTGCACCTCCATCGGGTCCTCCTGTCCATTGACACTCTGCTCTCCGAAGCTGCCGTAGTGCACATTGTTTGGATCGTCGTAGAGAAGTCGCGATTCCTCGTCCTGGAAGCCCGTCAGCCGCTGCATGCTACGCTGCGAGTGCGCCAGCCCGCAACGTCACCCACCTCGTCATAGACGTCCTTGTTTCCCCGCCCGAGGCATGACGCACAAATGCCCATCGCGAATCGAGAAATCGGCGGGTCGGTCCCTAGTCGTGCGATGCGCTGCCCTCGGCAAATCTTAAGGCCAGTGCCGGTCGTGGGCGGTGAATATCAGAACTAAGATAGCATAAAAGAGTGGACGGAGCTTTGCTACCAAGCAGTGTTTGGCAAGACGATGGCGTGAGGGACTGGTTGATGGCGCGTGTTTGAATTATGATGCTGGTGGCAGAAAGCGTAAGATTGCGACGATGGAATGACGTTCTCATTCCGGCAGGCGGTCGGACTCGGTGCCGGAATATCATCTTCTCCGCGAGATTTCCCCACAGCGGGACGGGACGGCCAGGCCCGAGCTCCACGCAGCGGTTTTCTGGTGTTTTGGGACGAAAAAAAAGCTGGAGGACCCGGCAGTGTGTTCGAAACCTGGACCTTGCACTGACCCGACCTGGCGGCTTCTTCCTCACTTAAATTCCACGGGCAATCGCCGAACACCCAATGGGGGCAATTTGTTCCGTCGCAGTTGTGATGCGTCCTGCCCGACATCTTTGCGGCGTATCCACCGTATAATGCATGATATCCAATGGCTTTCATTGCTTTTTGACTCGCGCAAAGCTTACGCTTGACGGATTATCTTATCAGCGAAAGGATTGAAGTCAAGAGCTCTCTCCCTTGGGGACACAGACGTCAATATTGAGCCCTGTGTCACTTCTTTCCCTCCTCACATCTCCCTGGTCCCTAAAACCGGGCTCAACTACGGACTATTGACTTGGGAAACCCCCTTCATCGCCAAATTCGGCATGATCACAGTCCATTTTCGGTTGAAGACCATCCAAGCGGAAGACGGCTTCATGGCCATGGGAAATGCTATACAATATGGAAACCCCCTCCAAAGATTTGTAGAGGCAGTTGTCTCCGGTTTTCCGTACCCTCGGCAGGCTCTATTGTTCTTCGTGGAGCAATAAGTCGCAATACAGGGAAACGACATTCCTACGGCAGCAGCGCAAACGTGAAGTTCACCAGAAGCCTTACAGCAAGCAAACTGTCTAATAGATACTCGCGCAGTATAGATGACGAGCATATAACTCCGCCATCTTCCCAGACAAGATGCTGTGTTTCTTGATCATCAGCTTCAGCTAACACACTTACACTGCTCAGCTTCCCACTCCCACCAGCAATAGCAAATACCCTCCGAGCTTCTCTACTTCTCATATTCTCGATTGATCTGTTCAAGTACCAGGGAACCGTCGTCACCATGGTCCATCAACGTAGCTTCCTGACATTGTCAGTCCTCTCCTTGGCCACAATCGCGGCGGCTCGCCCCGATAACCTGAGAGCACGAACGCCGCCAAACCCCAACACCTGTCCCTGTCTGCCGGAGGGCACACCGAGCGTAATCACCAAGACTGAGACCGCCCATTCCACAGTCTACCAGACCGCTTCCGCTTCTTTCGTCCAGGAGACCGTCACGGCTACCCTCACAGTCACGCGCCAACCAGTAACTCAGACCGAGACCCGAACCGTCCACGTTACCAAGACCAAGACCGCCGAGGAGCAGGAACAAGTCACCGTCACCTGCACCGAAGTCATCAGCGAAGGCCCTGATGGCTCAGCAACTACCAAGACCAAGCCGCCCGGAGACCACGAGCACACCAAGACGAAGACGCGCACTGGCCATGGGGGCTCTGAGACGACTGCGCCGGGCCATGATGACGATGAGCAAGCCACCCAGACAGACTCGGTTTCCGCCTCTGCAACGGCGACGGCAACGGCAACGGCAACGGCAACGCACACCGGCTCGAACGGCGGTAAGCCGACCAACAAGCCTCCACATGGCGGTGATGGCGGCGACGGCGGCGACGGCGGCGATGATGATGACAATGGCAATGGTTCCAACCCGACTTCAGCCCACCACTGCAACCACTGGAACGGCAGCAAGTGCGTCAAGCCGACCGATGTCCCCAGCGACTCCGCCGTTACTCTCACTGCCACGGCCACGGCAACCGCAACGGCGACGGGCACGACGACCGATAACGCTTTGCCGACCTACTCGGTCTGCTCCGTCTCTGTGGCTCTCGTTACCGTCTATAATACGGTTACCGCGACTGTCTACCAGACCGGCACAGCTCCTGTACACAAGCCTCGCGCGCCAACAGCATTGGCCGCCTGGTAGTTTGACTGCCTGCATGGGTTTCGGTTGTGATATATCGATGGAAGTTTATGGGGACGACATATTTCTCCCTTAGTAACGGTGTTAATGGTGAAAAAGTAATGTCTACTGTAGTTAGGAAGGATTTCAATAATATCAAGATGTTTATGTCAAGCTTCGAGATGTACAAGTGACTGAAAGGGATTGCCTGGGGACGTTGAATTTACTAACCAGAAGTGAAAGTGTAAAATTACAGTATTTATACAACATAAAACGTCTGGGGTTCCCATTGTAAAATGATCGGGGGCTTGGAATAAAGACAAAAGAACGCTCGACTGAACAAGGCGATTGTCATGAGCGGTATCGGAAGCCCATGAAATCGTCCCCGTCCTCGTCGTCTTCGTCATCCTCTTCCTCGTCGTCATTGACTTCCACGTTTTCTTTGCCACTGGCTTCAGCCGGCTTTTCGACAGGCGCAGTGGTGCCCGTAAAGCTCTGCTTCCTCAAAGCCTCTCGCTTTTCCTTTAATCTCCGAACCCGAGCCTCAAGCTCCTCCATATCCTCAAACTCCGTTTCCAGTGCCCGAGTAGCCTCCTCTTTCTCATCAAGTAGGTCTTTCTCCGCAAGCAGACGTCGTTTTGCTTGTTCCTCCTCCTCTGTCTTCGCTGCTGCTGCAGTCTCCTCAGCCGTCATGGCTGGTGCAGCAATGACGGCGTCCTCCGAATACGGTGCTGTTGTCGCAGCAATATCGGCCTCAAACGCTGCCCACTCGTCCTCGTCAACAGTTCCTCCAGCAGTCTTCCCAGCCGTGCCATTCTGTTGTGTTGCCGGGCCAGCAGTGACCGGCTTCGTCGGCAACTCCTCTTGCGGGATCAATGGCGAGGGACCGACGGGCTGCACAATGGGTGTCGAATTTGAAGAAGTCGCATCTCTATGCGCAGGAGTATGCGGGCGCGACGGCATCTGAATCTCCACCCCCTGTACTGGTGTGGTGGACGTTCGGCGGTTCAGCGAAGGTGGTGTGAGTGTCACGTCCTTGCGATCGTGGTCTGACTCGCCAGCGGACAGGCGAGCAGGAGTGCCCATATTCCCCTTGCTTCGCTTCTTCCGCACCGCATCGGCTGCGTCGTCATCTTCCATGTCCTCATCCGAGTCGTGTTTCCGCTTGTTTGAGGAGACTCCGTTCGCGGCCGCCGATCCGCTCGCGCCCGTGGACGCTTGTTGCACCGCCTTGACCTTGGCCGTATGCCCGGATCCACGGATATGGCTGTCCCAAAGAGACTCAGACTTGATCGCCTCGTGGCAGAGGGTGCAGAGGAGCTTGCCCGCATCAGAGTAGGCGGCGTGAGGGTGCTCGATTCGTCTGGCAGCACGTTGTTGACGGAGGAGGGATCGTACGTCGGCCATGGCAGGTATGAAGGCGTTTTGACGATACCTAAATGTGCGCGGATGCTCCGCAGATTCAGATATGGCGAGGACTATGCTCAATGGCGAGGAGGCGTCGAAAGTCGGAAAGCCGGGCGAACTTGTATTCGGGCTAAGATTTGAATGGAAGCAACGCAAACGACGTAGCGTGGTAGCGAAGCCGTACCTTTGCTCTGGCCTGGAAAGTGGAGGTGACAAGGTGTAGGTGCCAGGTGGGCAAAGTTGGCGCCAGTTCGATTCAAGCACAGCGGGGTTAGCAGAGCGCGAAAGGCCTGCCGACGCTACCCCGGGTGCCCATAGCTTTCCAACCAACCTTGCTGACGGGCCTGACTCCTGCTGCCTTGACAAGGCCGATCTTCAGCTGTCCGTACCTTCAAGGTCCCGTCGCGCAATTCGTAGTTGCATTAAACTCTCACCCACATTCCACCATTTCGACGCTACCGAGACAAATACACTCCAGGAATTTCATCACACGAACAACTAGGGAACGATTGCAACCCTTAACCGACCTGAGATTATCCAGCGGCTCTCAGCGACGATACCCTCGCCATAAGCATGGCCGACAATCCAGAAGAGCCATCGCAAAATGCGCTGGCCTCGACGTTCCCCAACCCGCCGCCGTTCTGGAGAGACTTTACCCCGGAAAACGTCGCCAGGATAGAAGAGCTGCGAAAAGCGCAAGCAGAAAAGGATGGCGTTGCTGTCAAGAACTTGCCAGCCCGCATACCAGATGTTCCCGAAAGCCTCATGAATCTCCAACCTCCGGCTGAGCCGCCAGCAGGAACATGGAAAGTCTTGGGCGGAAACTATACGGTATGTCTTTTCGGCTCGTGACGGTCGATTTGAAACGAGGACGCTGATGATCCGCGTAGCTCGACGATAAGCTTCCTTCTCTCGAGGAAGGTGAAATCAAGCGATTGGTACCGGCGCATTCGGAGGAGAAGGACGGAAAGCATCTCGATCGAGCATTCGAGCTCAAGAAAATGGCCAAGTCTCTGCTGCTTAACTTTCTCGAGCTCGTTGCCGTCATGGCTACGGTGCCAGACGACGTAAGTGAACCGCGGCCTTTCCCCGTTTCCCCTCAAACTAACCAGTCGAAGGCTGCGGCGAAAATTGAAGATTTGCGCACCATCTTCATCAACTTCCACCACGTCCTGAACGAATATCGACCCCATCAAGCTCGCGAATCGGCCATTGCGCTGATGCAATCCAATCTCGATCGTACCAGAGCGGAAACAGCTGCGATTCGAGCACAGGTTGACACGGCCAAGCGAGTTCTCGAGGGCTTAGGAAGCATTGATACACCCAAAGTACCGGATATCATCAGCTCAGTCGTTGACGGCGAGCTGACTAGTAAAGAAGCGGAGACTTTTGCCAAGACAAGAGAACAAGAAGTATGGGGAGAGGCGGATGCTTTGTTTCTTTAGCAAGGGAATGACATATCAGCTGCTACATGTGAATATAGCTCGAGGGCCCTCTTTCCATGGGTCTTTGAGCATCCTGGGGTTTGAATACACGGATTGGTCGGCAGGGTGGTGGCGGCGGTGATGAGCAAAAGTTTCGTAGTGTTTTCGGCAAACATTGATACCCAATTTCAGACCCGACTAGACTAGGGATGAGCCATGAGAAACGGGCGTCGACAAGACAAGGCAATGCAGAAGGAGATGGTCCCGCAACATGATATTGAATCAGACGACGACGTAGGTGCTCTTCACGGGGTTTGCAAGGGGCAAACAGCTTTGGAGTCAACGACGTAGACGATAGAATAGCCACAAAGGCAAACCATGAATTCATGCTAAACTCGTATAGCACCAGCGTCGAAGATATCAAAAGCAACAAACGGTATCAATCCTCCACAGCGTCGCTACATTCCGCCCTCCAGGAAGGCCCCAAATCCAAGCCAAATTGTACTTCTCACCTGCCGCAGCGGAATCCCCTTTACATGACGGTGCAGGGAATAGGGATGCAGCAGCACTCGTATCCGTCGCACTCGATGCACTTCGTCTTGCCGCCCGTGGCCTCGGCGGGCTTGACGATGCTGTCGATGATGGAAGTGGCGGCGCTGCCGGGGCCGTTGCGGTTGATAAGGCCGGAGGAAGCTGAGCCGCAAGCCATTGTGATTGTGGTTGGTGATGGAAGAGCTTGGTAGTGTGTAGATGGGAATCCTACGTTGTTGTTAGTTGCTAAAGATCTTGACTGTTGCTCAGATAGATGCGCATGTGACGTCACGGCTGGAGCTCTCTTACGGATACTTACAGATGACTACGTAGCAACTGAAGCAACGGTTGGACAGATGAACAATTGAGCTTGAAGATGTCGAAAGAAGGTTGAAACGGTTCAAGCAGTTTTAGATTGAACAATGGATGTCTACTCTCACAAAGGGAAAAAGGCGGTCCAGACCCAGTCTCAGCCAGCCTTAAATAAAATGCACCACCCACTCCCCATGCCCCCTCAACCCAATGCTTCCCGTGTTTCTAAATCCAGCAAGGTTGTCGTCATGGCGTGGTGGGGTGCAAGGCATAAACCCGGCAAAATGCTGTGGCTGAACCGTCTTCGATTTGTTGGCCTGCTCAGCCAACCAGTGGCAGTGCGAACCGGGCTCCCGGGGCCGGGGTGTGTTCCCGATACCTACCTTGCTGTGCCGTTAAGTATAGGTAGGAGTGTTTGCCGTCTTAGTGTTCGTTGTACACTGAATGCACCCGACGGTGGAAGATAGGTAGATAAACCGGACGGGAGGTGGGGGATTGGTTCCCGTCGAAAAAAGCAAGTGCTGTCTCTGACTTACTGCCTGTTGACAGCCGTTTCAGCACTTTAATGGGTCGCAGAGGATGACAGCCCGGGCTGTTGACTCGCGACAGACCCAGCACTGGAAATGACCGAGATGAGTGATCTTGGCGAGTTTAGTTTGCACTTTGGACTCGTTGGCGGCATCGCTTTGACCGAGTTCCACCACAAAGGCCAAGAATCAACGAATTGCCGTGTTCCGGGAAACGTGAACATGAAGCTAGGAGAAGCCTAATTATCCATAAAGAACTCAACTATACAGTAGTATCTATCTGTTCAATAGAGAGGGAGGACAAAGTAGTCGGCCAGGATCAATATCCTTCTTTCAACAGCTCTTGCGAACAAAGGTTGACTTTAGACTAAGACTGATTGTTGCCGACAACAGCTACTAAATCGAATCACGATACAGCTACACAAAAGGAACATGAGAGAATAGCTTTAATTGCCCTATTTCAATACAGCTAGACAATGAACTCCATAGCAAATCCCCATTTAGCAAAGGCCCAAATGCCCCCTACGAGGGAGCGGTATCTCCGTCTCTCAGTCCCAAGACCTCGCGTGAAACCCAATAAACAGCTACCTATGTACCGCGAATGAGAGGATATACGCTTTTGCAAGCAAACTTTACTGGTTTGCCCATCCAATAACAACCCAAGATCACGCCGATGGCGCAACCCCCTGCGCGCCTTGCGGAGCCGGAGAGGCAATATCGCTGCCCTTAGCAGCTGGCGGTTGTTTCTCCAACAGGAGGCTTAGATGGGTCAGGTCATTTCGCGCCCGCAGGTCTCTCTCCAAGATGCCCCGAACGACCTCCCACTCTGTCCGCGACATCTGGTAGGCTTGAGGCAGCAAGAACTTCATCGTAGGACTGTTGATCAAAGGGCCCAGAACTTCTTGTGCCAGCGCCTGGCCTTGTTGTTGACGTTGTTGGTTTTCGAGTTCAGCGCCGCGAGCGGCCGTATAGCCCGTGGGAGGCTGGTTAGATGGAACAGCCTGATGTGCCCCTTGTGCTGGATATTCCTGTAAAGTGTGGGCAGTGTTGCCAACAGGATGGCCCGGTTGCTGGAAGGGGCCCTGGGCAACCGTTGGCGAGAATGCCGGGCCAGATATCGAGGGGTGTCGTGGAGGGACGCCGCTCTGTGGAGGAGTTGGCACATTGGTGACGGGTGATTGAGATGTGGTGCCGCCCAACTGAGGCTGTCTGGGGGTATTGCGGTACACGAAGACAGCCAATAGCATAGGCTCCGTCCTCTTCTGAGGGACAAGGTTATCCGAAAAGTTGAGCATGAACTCTGGCATGTTGCTGTCCCCCGGAAGGACAGGAACCAAGTAGGTGTCCCTCACATTGCCCACGCCCTTATCTCCAACAACAGCGTAGCGCTTTTTCGAGACGAAATAGTCAATGAGGGCCTGGAACTCCCGTCTATAAACCTCGGACGACGGCGTTACTGCCACGACAACAATGTCGGTCTGGTCAGCGTAGCGCAAGCCGCAGAGATACTCTATCGCCTTCTGTTCGTCTATGCGTCCGGCAACCGTGAGTTTCTTTGGGATGAGGCTGGTCCAGGGCAATGCAATGGTGGTAGAGAGGTTGGCGCCACCAACAAACCTAGCGGCAGCCGGGAAGTCGGCAATCGAGCTCATTACCAAGTGGCCACGCCAAATGACATCAGGATCTGTCTCATCAGTTGGCGAATAGGGTGGAGAGTCCGTCTCTTCCTGCAGAAGTCTATCCACGTCTGCGTCAACACCGGGGCCATGGTTTAGCGCCGACGGCCGGCGATTGTGTGTGCCCGTGGGAGATTTGACGGTTGCGTAAACCTTGTTGATGTCGAAGTCGGGATGCTTGGGAGAGTGTCGGGCTCCACGGGTATCGATGTGTAGACCAGCATGGGCAGGAAGCTCCACTGAGTTCTCGTAGTGCGATTCTCCGTCGGATTTGATGCCAGCCTGCCCCTCTCGGCCACTTGGTCGTCTTATGAAAGACCTGCGTTCGTCATTCTGATGGAAGGACTCGTTTTCGACGATCTCTTCGCCTTTGTGTGTTCTCCTCATACGAGGACCATCTTCGGTGATAAGGATCGACTGCTTCTCAGAGATGGCCTTCAGCTGAGCGTTGGCCTCCTGCCTCTCCTTGGTAGCCAGCTCGTCGGCAGACATTGTGGCTAGCATAGTTGGCGACAGAGTGCGCTTCAATAAGCGTTTGGTCAAGTCGCCGTTCAGCTTCATATTCGCATATAGGATTCGCGCCTGCATTGCGTACTGGCTCCGGTCCGGGTGTGCGTCGTGAACCGCGCGTTCAATCTCGAGTGCCATACGCTCCGCTTTAGCTGCAATAGTGGTGTCTTTTGGGAGACTGATGGTCTTGTCCTTGACACCAGCAGTGAGGCTGCCGGCGACAGCCTTTTGCAGGAGTTGGGCGGGTCCCTTGCGATCCTCGGGGAGATCGCTGACCTTTGCATCTAGGTCGGCCGGTGCGGTGTAATTGACGACAGGGGATGCTTCTGGATCCGAGACTTTGCGTTGCTTTGGCGCAGGCGTCTAGAAAGCGTAGAGTTAGCAATGCTTCGCGCGAGGCTTCGGGAAGACGGAAGGCTTACCTTTGCTTCCTTTTCTCCAGTCTCCTCTCGCGTCTTGCGCTTGCCAGTGGCGGCTTTGGATGCGGCGTCCTTCTTGTCCTTCTTCTCCTTGGCGGGTTCTGAGGGAGCGGGTGAATCCTCGGCCTTGTTACTCCTCGTGTCTTGCGACAACTCTTCTTTGGGGTCGCTGGCGCGCTTTCCAGCTCTGCCGCCCTTCTTCTTTTTCTTCTTCTTCTCGTTCTGTTCGTCTTCGTAAGCCTTGCGGCGAGACTCCCATGGGCGCTCGCCTTGCTCCATGAGAGCCAGTAGTTCCTTGTGATCCTGAGGAGCACATTGCTCACAGTAGTAGTTTTTAGGGAGATCTTCCGTAAAGACACTCATACCCATGCAAACGTTGTGCTGCCATGCTGTGCATTTGTCGCAAGCGATCCAAGGCTCCTCTGAGTCGCCATCCTGCTCAGTTGCGCCGCAGACGCAGCGGATAATCTCTTCTTCTGGTTCCTCCTCTTGCTTCTTCTTCCTTCCTCGTTTCTTGGGCGGTTCGATAGGTTGGTCGTCGAAGGCCTTTGTATGCTGACCTTTGGTTGCGCGCACAGAGCGGCGAGGCTCCGGTTCTCCTTTACGAACCATACTGGTTAGATCTTGTTGGTAAAGAATGCGGCAGTGTAAGGTATGTGTGCGTGCTTGTGCTTGTGTGTATGTTTTTTGGGGGAAAGACGAGGGGTGGCTGGCTGCGGGGCAGCGTGAAGGTGGTTGCGACACTTACCAGACATAATGGCTTTGTTGCCAGCGGTGGCAGGAAGGAGAGGTGGAAGCGTTCAAACGTCCGTCTCCCTTTGTTGGGAAGGAGCGCGATGGTGCACCTTTGGGGGAAGGTACGGGATCTACTCCAGTTGTCGATTCAGGAAGGTCCGGTGTCCTCTTTCTTTCTCAAGCATGCATTGGATTTTACGGCAGAGCAGGAAAAAAAAAGACTATGATATGTGACCCATCCAAGATACGCGCGCGACACCACAGGCTTGATGCGAAGAGCGCAGACCGCGCGGGAACCCTTCCAATCGTCCCTCTCGAGTGAGTTCCAACACAGATAAGAAGTGTAACGTCGCGCGACACAGTTTGCGACAACGAAATCAAGGTCGATCGTGGTGGGAGCGATGTTCGCGTGCCGCTTTTTGGGTTGTGTGGGAGAGGAGCAGAAGGGAGCTTGCGCAAAGGTGGAGGTGATGGAGTGGGTTGCGGTGCGGTGCGCTGCGATAAAACGGCGCGAGGTTGGAGGGAAAATGCCGAACCGCCTCCACATCCTGTCATTAGGTAAGCGTCGTTAACCACGATCTTGGGCCCATCGCTCGGTGAGAAGTGCACGGATGCCGGGGAGGCGGGGGATGCATTGTTGTGGCCTTGATGCCTGATTACCTATTTTCGGTGAGATAGGTGAGAGAGAACCTCTGGCCCCCCTCTGAGGTGGAAAGCAAAACGATGAGGTAAGAGCCTCCCGGCAAAAGCTCGGACCATCCTTACCTCAGCGGCTCAGCCCTCCCCCGGTTGCTCCCCCAGGCTGGCTAGCAGCGCAAGGAGCTAACGCGTGCGTCGATTGCCTGGAGCTTGCCTCATCGAGCTGCACCCAAAGTCGTAGCCTTCCCTGCAGACGACCAACAAACCATCTTGCCGCAACTTCACACGAATCCGATCGTCGGCTTCACAAACGAGATCAGTACCGCAATCGAATCCTCAGTCACAGCCAAGTGCAACTCGATTGCTCGCCCATCATGTCACGCAGATACGATTCCCGCGTAAGGTCCCTCCCCGCTCTTCCCTTGCTCTACGTCCCCTCCATCCTAGTAGGGCAGCAAGCTCACACTTTGTGTTAGACAACAATCTTCTCCCCCGAGGGCCGTCTCTACCAGGTTGAATATGCCCTTGAGGCTATCTCTCACGCTGGAACTGCCATTGGCATCCTCGCCAAGGATGGCATCGTTTTGGCCGCCGAGCGCAAGGTGACTTCGAAGCTGTTGGAGCAAGACACTTCAGCGGAGAAGCTGTACATCGTCAACGAGTACGTAGTTGTGGGCTCAGCACTATATCTCTAGACTCTAACGCTCTTGCCTCCTAGCAACATGCTTGCCGCCGTTGCAGGTATGACGGCTGACGCCAACATCCTGATCAACTATGCCCGTCAGGCCGCCCAAAGATACCTCCTCACCTACAACGAAGACATTCCATGCGAGCAGCTCGTCCGGAGACTATGCGATCTGAAGCAAGGATACACACAACACGGTGGTCTGAGACCGTTTGGCGTCTCCTTCATCTACGCCGGATGGGACCCTCGTAGACAGTTCCAGCTGTACCAGAGCAACCCTTCAGGCAACTACGGCGGATGGAAGGCGACGGCTGTCGGTGCCAACAGAGCTAGCGCAGAGAGCTTGTTGAAGCAGGACTACAAGGAAGATTGCACTCTCAAGGAGGCTTGTGGCATGGCGGTCAAGGTTCTTAGCAAGACCATGGACTCAACGAAGCTGAGCGCGGAGAAGCGTACGTTATTGCCATGACCCCCCTTCGATCTGCGAATTAATACTAACCGAATGTAAACAGTCGAATTCGCCACCGTTGGCCAGACGAGCGACGGCAAGATCTACCACAGACTCTGGACCGCAGAGGAGATCAAGGAATTGCTGAAGGAGCATGATTTGGCAAAGGACGAGTCCACGGAGGACAAATAATGGCATGGATGAATTCAAAAACATAGATGGGGCGTGATGATTGCCCTTAACCCTGATGTACCAATAGAATTGATGCCCCCAAATTTCCGGAATCTCAGACCCCCAAAAACCCTGATAGGTTGCTGCCAAGATGCAAATGCGATGCTGCGGTTTCCCAGGGTGAGCTCTAAAATGGCATGTAATGCAGAGGTGATAAACCAGGCTCAAGATGAAGCACAAGAAAGCAAGGCAAGAATGCAGTAAACACGAGAAACAATGTAGTGATTAGTCTTACGTGTGTAGATGGCTAAGTCGGTGGTTGGTTTGTTGCATTCGTACTCTATGAAGGACCCTACTGACAGTGATTAGTGTCTTTGGCTATTTAGCTGGGTCATCTCGTAGCCTACGTCGGGTCGCGAGTCCCTAGCTTCCTCCTCGTCTCGCAGGCGGTTCCACCCAGTCTTGGGGTCCGATCCAGGATATGGATGGGGTTCATGACATTCCTTGGCGGTCAACTTCGGCCAGTGTCGTCGATAACTCCAGTACGCAACCACGTAACCAAGCAAAGAGCCCACGGAAACATCATATACGTCGTGTCTATAGTCCTCACACCGGCTGATGGCGATGAGTGCAGCCCCCAGCAGCGGTAGAAGGCAAATGAGGGCGCGGCTAAGGTCTCGGCCTCCACTGTTGTGTCGGAAAATGTGCAGCTGGCCAGCCAAGAATAAGCTCAAGAAGCCAAGTCCAGAGAAAGAGAAAGACGAATGGCCCGACGGGAAGGACCGCCAACCATCATGGAGGAGATGGTGCGCAGTCTCAGTGCAGACATCGATGGTAACAAGCACGTCAGGCTTGGTGCCAGTCGCCGGCTTACATCTGGCCAACAAATCGGGACGCGGTCGGCCGACAGTATTCTTGACGAGGTCCGTGAGAAAGGAGCCCATGATGATGGCGATGGCAAAGGACAGGTAGGTGACCTCGTGCTTGTGAGGCGATGCTTTTGTGACAACATTGTACGCAACCAACACGCCCAGCGGTATGAAGAGGGCGTATACAAAGTTCATGTCTAAGAAGGTATCAGTCATATTCTCAAGAAAGCTCCAAGGCTCCATCTGTGCACTAACAAACAGGTACGCGCTCGACCTCGGCATGAGGGTATGAGATGTGCAGATCGTTGATGAAGAACATGCGGTGGAATGGCTCAATAAATAACAGCATCTAAAGAAGTCATCAGCACTGGGAGCTATGCCATGAACATGCATCGTGAAGAACCTACCACGATCCACCCAGTAAGGAGAATCGCAAATCCGAGGTAGTCTGGCGCATGAGTTCTCTACAGGTACTCTGTCAGACGATCTCGCAGCCTTGCTTGTATGAGAAGAACCCGAGCGAGTACGCTACCTTCCAAAACCTGGTGAATGCGGATGCGACAGCATTTCCTCTTGAACCACTGTCCCGACGGGCTGGAGCCATCTTGAGCAGTCACCGTCGTCGAGTTGCACGAAAGGCTGCTTGAAACATCGACGACTTCTTGCTGCGACGGTGGGTGTTGATCGAGGGAGCGGTAGTGATGAGAGAGCTCAAACACCCAACGTGAGCCGACTCTATAAGAATCAAAAGGAGCGACGGCAGACAATGAAAGTTGAACAAGCGCCAACGACTAGCCGCAGTCACTTGATCAACATGCAGATCCTCCGGCCAATTGTCCCTGGGGCGAGCCTTCCACCCTGAATGTCTTCCGGTGTATGTGGCGTTTTGATTGGGGGATTCGAGCTCGTGAGCTGTGACGCTTTAGGTCCCGAGCTGGCTGCAGACGAACCTCTGGAAGCTACCTTATCTTATCGGATGCCCGAAGATTCTCCGCCTCAATTCCGTTCCTCGCATCAACACCTCCGAAAACCAACAACTTTATCGTGATCGTGATCTGACGGTTGGCATCACAGACACTACGAGCGCACCATTTCTTAACCTTGCTCAGTATGCTCAAGTCAACATACAAGCCGACCGCAAATACTGCGACACCTCCTCCTCTGCTTCCCGGATGGACAGAGCACACTGCGCCAAGCGGACATAAGTACTACCACAACAGCCAAACACAAGAATCGACATACACAAGACCCAGTGCCCCGGACGCTGCTGCTGCACCTTCAACGGCTTCGACGAGCTTCTTCCAATATCAGACCGTTCCCCAACTCTCCGATCCCAACGTCGCAAACGCATATCTTGCACAATACAATGCGCAAAACCAGCCTCTGCCTCAGCGAGGAGGTTTCGGTCACGGAGGCAGGGGAGGTAGGGATGTACGCCCGCGTCCCGAGCCGGTGGACAAACCGAAATCTAAGGTGCCGATCCCCGGATGCGAGCCCTGGTTACTAGTCGACACAAAGTACGGGCGCCGCTTTGTCTATAATCCCGAGAAAAATGCTAGCTACTGGCGCATTCCAGAAAAGCTTACGGCTGGTATCTTGGAGGTGGACAAGGCCAGAATCCGCGAGAAAGCTGGGATCAGAAGTGTCGCAGAGACAGACAAGGAGGGCCCACCGACAGCCCAAGCTCGACCAACACTAGATGCTACGGAACCCACGACCTACGACAACAACGAGGACAGCTCAGAGTACGAGGAGGTTGAGGTTACGGATGACGAAGTAGAGGACCAAGATGGGGAGGACGGACCTGCTTCCAAGCGCCAGCGTACAGAAGACCCGGCCGATGACGCGCCTGTAGAATTCAGCGAAGCGGACATCGCATTTCAACTGCAAGCAATGGGCGATGCCTACGGACTAGACCCCGGAGAATATGACGACGGGAATATGGACGAGTGGCCTGAAGGTGCAGAAGGGGTCGAGTTCTCACAAGAAGACGCCGCCGCGTTGTTCCGAGATTTACTAGAAGACTTCAACATCAGTCCCTACAGCACGTGGGAGAAACTGATTGAGGATGGACATATCATTGAGGATCCGAGATACACAATTCTCAATACGATGAAGGCACGCAAGGAGACCTGGTCGGAGTGGACCAAGGACAAGATCAAGGAAATCAAGGAACGTCGGGCCAAAGAAGAGAAGAAGGATCCGCGGATACCGTACATGACGCTACTGCAGGAGAAAGCGTCACCCAAGCTCTTTTGGCAAGAGTTCAAGAGGAAACATCGGAAAGAACCATCCATGACGGACCCCTACATCAAAGACAAGGACCGTGAGAAGTGGTATCGCGAGCACATCAACCGTCTCAAAATGCCCCAAGCCACACTCAAGGCAGATCTCGCCACGCTTCTGAAGTCACTGCCACTTTCTGCACTGAACAACAAAACGAACATGTCGCACCTACCACCGCAGCTGCTCGTCGACATCAGATACATCTCTCTGCAGCCGCAAGTGCGGGATCCTATGATCGCGACCTACATACAGACTCTGGGACCACCTCCAGAGGGTGACGCGGCCGAGCAAGAGGATGAAGCGACGCGCAAGGCTCGGGAAGCTAGAGATCGGAGAGAAAAGGCACTGCATGAGCACGAAGAAAAGGTCGCAGAGCAAAAGAGGAGACAGCAGCGAAGCCTCGAAATGGGCAAGGCCCGACTTCGAGAGGAAGAGCGTGAAATCGAACGAGCAATGCAGGTTGGCAAGCGAGGTTTACAGAGCCAGCTGGCCAGTGCCCAGAAGAACGATCAACCTGATGCATAAAATCAACGTGGCTGGGTTGACTGATAATAGACAGACTTGGAATTCCAGCAAACCAGACGGCGTGCTTTTTAAAATCAACGTCAATCTTTCGTGTCTCTTGTGATAGGGTTGTCCTGCAATAGTCCGGTCTTGGCACTAACAACGCAGTCAGCCCGTTGATGTATCGCTCCGCCGACTGCTGCAGGAACCGGGTTTCATGCACGACCACAATGGGGTCTTTCTCACCATCCAAGCCTCTCATCATATCCAACTTGACTCGAGCCTCGCAGACGCGTCATGCAGACCTCCCAACGGATGCAGACCAACAGTCTTGGACGGAACCATCATCCATGGGTTGAGTTGAAACTCTTTACTCCTTCCTGCTCCTGATGCTTCACAATACAGTCAGCGCAGTCATCGTAGGAACGTGCTGCCTGCGGTCTGCGGTCGAAACACCATGATCTAGTTGCTTGATCACCCAGCCACACTTCAGCGTCATTCCCTGCTCCACCATCCCTTTTTACCGCGAGCAGAAACATACTTTGAGACTCGTGGGTAATCAGTTCGGATTGATACCTCTCGCTGTTCCTGCCACGGCACTAATGACACCATCTGGTGTGTTCGTGCGTAGGATCGACTGAAAATCGGCGGCGCGCCCATTGGCTCGTCGGCCACGTCGGTCATCTCGGTCACAGCAGGCTGACCGTGCTCGCACATCCCCAAGCGCACTCCGTTGTCAGACGAAGCACCAGGCGATGGAGCATAATGCCATGTCAATTAGTGTCCTGAATGACAGCCGCCCTTGGACTTTTCCTTGAGGGCCCGGCCTCGTGTCTTTTAGTATAAGCCATTCCTCTGTTCGTTTCGCAGACTTTGGTGTTCCGAGTGTCTGCTTTTCGAACCAATACGTCAGCGCAATTACACACATCATGGGCGCAATAACACTCACAGTATTTGGCGTCATCGCCTTGGGTAAGTAGCGAATAGTTATTCGTCTAGACGAACATAACTGACGAGGGACTCAGCTTCGATGGTAGTAGCGCAACAATTTCCCGGAAATTTCCCTGGCAATGGCAACGGCAACGGCAACGGCAATGGAAATGGGTTTGGAAATGGCAACGGCGGCAACGGTTTCGGAGGAAACTTCAACAATTTTGTCGGCTTCAACATTCAGGAGGCGATGCACACAAGAAGAATCCACGGCATATTAGGAACAATCGCCTTCGTCATCGTGTTTCCCATCGGCTCGATCGCCATGAGGATCATTCCCGGACGCTTCAGCTGGCTTATCCACGGTCTCATCCAGATGGCCGGCTTCGTTCTCTACATCGCTGCTGCCGCACTGGGTATCAAGTTGACGCAGCAAGTCACATTTGGTGGGACAAGTTTGGTAAATTACAATCCGCTCTGCGTCAAATATCCCGAGGGTTTCCCGCTAATACATCCCGTTAGTATGAGATCAGCACGATTAACTTCCACCCAATTATCGGCCTTGTCCTCCTGGCCATCTTCTTCTTTCAACCCATTTTCGGCTACATCCATCATGTTCAATTCAAGAGGTACGGCATCCGTCAAATCTGGTCACACGTCCACCTGATCATTGGCCGCCTCCTCATTCCGCTCGGCATCATCAACGGCGGTCTTGGCCTATACATCTCTAACTCTCCCAAAGAGTTCAAGATCGCCTACGCCATTCTCGCTGCCGTATTTGGCATTACATGGATCTTCGTCTCGGTCATCAGCGAGAGCCGTCGCAGCCGCCAACCGGCCGTGGTGGTTGTCGAGGAACACAAGCTCAGGAAACGGTCCCATGGTCGCAACAGCGGAAGCCGGGGCTCATCGGACTCGGACCCGAAGATTTGAATGGCTGAACTGACGGTTTATGAGTTATGAGAAACCTATCTAGGATAAACGTTCCACATCGGTCGCAGCAGGTTGACTCATGGTGGCGATCGGACGAGCTACCGAAGCGAACTTTTTTTTGTAGTTGGCGAGAAAGCAAAGGACTGGCGTTTCGAATGTCTTTATCTTGACAGAGAGTATGCATACCACATGCCAGAAGTTGCCTTTGGAAATGGCCGACTATCTTGTGACTACAAGTCTTCAACTCCTAACGCTACCTTCAACCTTCTCGGCCTTACGCTGTTGCCTTGTGGGATCACATGGAATCTGAACAAGACCTTTCTGGTATCACAGATTATGTAAATGGTGGCATAGCCCTTGTCTATGGGAATGCTCTAAGGTAACAGACCACCAATCCACTTAGACCGATGTGGCTAAAGCTTTGGGTAATGTACAATGAAGATAGTCGTGTCAGAAACGACTGGGAAGCGTCGCTAGGCACGGTATGAGAATGAAATGCGCGGCTTTTGGATGTTTACAAGTTGCTGGTACCGTGACACGCGCCGTTGAATAGACTTCAATTGAAAGATGCTGGTAAGTATGTTCCTTTCGAGGATGATCGTCGATTCCAACCGCAATGAGCATCTACAACAGAGGGCTCGAGATCATTTAGCACATCAAGTCTTTGAAGAACTTTGCGATATACAGTTTCCTATCCAAGACACCGGGACATGGTGCAGCTTGGAGTACAGCAATGCACGCTATACCTTCCTTCCAACTGCATCATGCCTCACTTGGTGATGATCGGGACTGTTGCAAGGAGAAGTTCTTGCCCAATTGTCATAATGCTACAACTAGGCGGATTTCATTAACATCTGAAAACACCCACACAAAAACATCTGAGATACTCAATATTTGAAAGCAAAACGAGGGTAGTTACAACGGAAGCCTAATTGAAGTTGGGAAAATCATCCTTCTACCAATTGAATAGAATGATCCCCTCAAGGGCTGAGGACGTAAAACTTCACCCCGTAGAGCAACTGTCAAACAAAAAAACAAGGCATGAGGCTCTTTAATCGACTTGTCGACATCTAATATCGGATTATCAGAGTGCCTGGAAGTTGATGTGTTTTGTCGCCTACGGCCATAATCGTGGATGGAATGGCAAACTTGAGTATTTCAACAAATCTGAACAATTTTGAAATTACCGAAGGCGTGAGGGGTCTCTCCTGATTCAACTTTTGCATAACTTTCAGTCAACTTTGGAAAGCTGCACGAAGATTCAATGGTCTCGAATGACCGTCGAAGACAAAACCGAGTGTCTGTTCGATCTCTCGGCGGTGCTTGGAGCACTCAGGTGGCCGGCATGCCGAATCTGGGAAGTCACAGTGGGAGGCCGAAGTCCTAGAACTTC